TTTTTTTTTTTTTTTTTTGTTTTTTTGAGATAGTGTCTCACTTTGTCGCCTTTGATGGAATGCTGTGGTGTCATAGCTCATAGCAACCTCAAACTCTTGGGCTTAAGTGATTCTCTTGCCTCAGCCTCCCAAGTAGCTGGTGCCCACCACAATGCCTGGCTATTTTTAGGTCGTAGTTGTCATTGTTGTTCAACAGGCCTGGGCTGGGTTCAAGCCTACCAGCCCTGGTCTCTGTGGCTGGCGCCCTAACCACTGAGATATGGGGGCTGAGCCTCAAACCTGTTTTCTTTCATGTGGTTATATCATGGTGTAAAAACTGGACTGGAGTTGGGGAGGGTGGTGGGAGGATCTGCAGGCAAGTCACATAGTGGGTGCTGTAGCTATTCTGCATAGCTAATAGCAGCAAAGACAACTTCAACTACATTGTTCTAAGGTCATTTTTAAGATGTCTGAACAACAATGCTGATGAGTTTGAGGGACTTTTTCTTGGATATGGGCAAGGAATGTACACTTGATGAGGCTGCAGGAGACTCCTGACACTACGTTGTATGGCTCCAAAGAGCAGCACTAATACTTCAGTGCTCCAGTGCTAAAACACTGTGAAGGCCTCCCAAACCCAGTGGTGCAGTAGGTGGTCCTGCATCTAATTATTTCCTTTTTTTTTGAGGCAGTCTCACTTTGTCACCCTTGGTAGAGTGCTGTGGCATCAAAGCTCACAGCAACCTCAAGTTGCCCTCAACTTGGGCCCAAGTGATCCTCTTGCCTCAGCCTCTGGAGTAGCTGGGACTACAGGCGCCTACCACAACACCTGGCTATTTATTTTTTTATTTTGTTTTTGAGACAGAGTCTCCAGCTGTCACCCTGGGTAGAGTGCTGTGGCATCATAGCTCACAGCAAACTCCATCTGGGGCTCCAGCGATCCTCTTGCCTCAGTTTTTCTACTTTTAGTAGAGACAGGGTCTCACTTTTGCTCAGGCTGGTCTTGAACTCATAAGCTCAAGCAATCTACCCACCTTAGCCTCCCTCCCAGAGTGCTAGGATTACAGGTGTGAGCCACTGCGCCCAGCCACGTTATTTCCATTTTAAAGGTAAGAAAGCACAAGTGTAGAGGGATTAAAGAGTTTACCCTCTAAGCCTGTACTCCAAAGTCAGTGTATTTCTAACAATCTGTAAAGAGGCACAGTGACAGTTTGGTTTACTTATTTTCTATCATACATGTGTATTTAGCTTAGTTACTTTTTTTATATATATAAAAGGTTTTACTCTGTCACCCAGAGTGCAGTGCTGCAATCATAGCCCACTATAACATTAAACTCCTGGGCTCAAGCAATCCTTCCTATTCCGCCTTCCAAGTAGCTAGGACTATAGGACTATAAGTATGTACCATTGTGCCTGGCCAATTAAATTAATTAATTAACTTATGTATTGCTTTAAGACAAGGTCTCACTCTGTCACCCAGGCTACAGTGCAGTGGCATCATCATAGCACATTGCAATCTCAACTTGCTAGGCTCAACTGATCCTCCTGCCTTAGCCTCACCAGTAGCTGACACTACAAGGACATGTCACCATGCCCAGCTAATATTTCTATTTGGGGTCTCACTATGTTGCTCAGACTGGTCTCAAATTCCAGGCCTTAAGTGGTCTTCCTACCTTGTCCTACCAAAGTGCCAGGATTACAAGAGTGAGCCAATCATGTCCAGCCTTAATTAATTAATTAATGTATTTATTTATTTTGGTAGAGAAAGGGTCTTACTATGTTATCCACACTAGACTCAAACTCCTGGCCTCTAGTGATCCTCCTGCCTTGGCCTCCCAGAGTGCATATTTAATATTTTTCTGAGACAAGTGCATACTTTGATCAATTGCACTGCTTCTTGAGATATAATAAATTTTTTATTTAAAATCAGACATTTCAGATTTAATGACCTAAATGTCTTGAACCTTATTTCAATAGGGGTAACATGTTAAAGATGCTGGGGCAACAAGAAGACAGAAGGAGAATAAACTTGTTTTTTTTATTAAGTCATTTGTACATAGATCATGAATACATTTATGCCATTATGGGACTCAATGTGTTGATTATTTGTACAAATTCGAGTGCTTACATCCTACTAATCAACATAGCCTTCACCTCATTTACTCAATTACAGCGTTAAGACATTTGTGTTCTAGATAGATCCAATTTGTTTTTTTTGTTTTTTTTTGTTTTTTGAGACAGAGCCTCAAGCTGTCCCCCTGGGTAGAGTGCCGTGGCTTTACAGCTCACAGCAACCTCCAACTCCTGGGCTCAAGCGAGTCTCCTGACTCCGCCTCCCAAGTAGCTTGGACCACAGTCGCCCGCCACAACGCCCGGCTATTTTTTGGTTGCAGCCATCATTGTTGTTTGGCGGGTCCAGGCTGGGGATTCGAACCCGCCACCTTAGGTGTACATGGCTGGCACCTTAGCCGGTTGAGCTATAGGGGCCGAGCCAATAGATCCAATTTGTACTTGCAATATGCTCCATAGGTGTGGTCCCCCTACTAACCCTCCCTCTATCGACCCACCTCCCTCCCTTCCCCCCTAGCTTCCCTTCCCTCCTTCATCCTAGGCTGTGATTCATCTTTCATATGAAAGTGTGAGTGATTATAAATTGGTTTCACAGTAGTACTGAGTACATTGGATTTTTTTTTAAGACAGAGCCTCAAGTTATCCCCCTGGGTAGAGTACTGGGCATCATAGCTCACAGCAACCTCCAACTCCTGGACTCAAGCGAGTCTCCTGCCTCAGCCTCCCAAGTAGCTGGGACCACAGGTGCCTGCCACAACGCCTGGCTATTTTGTGGTTGCAGCCGTCATTGTTGTTTGGCGGGCCCGGGCTGGATTTGAACCCACCACCTTAGGTGTATGTGGCTGGCACCTTAGCCACTGGAGCCACAGGCGCCAAGCCAGGATTTTTTTTTTTTCCATTCCTGAGATACTTTACTAAGAAGAATATTTTCCAGCTCCATCCATGTAAACATAAAAGAGGTAAAGTCTCCATCAACATTGTTTTTTTTTTTGGAACAGAGTCTCACCATGTCACCCTCAGTAGAGTGCCATGGTGTCATCACTCACAGCAACCTCACCTCAAACTCTTGGGTTTAAGTGATTCTCTTGCCTCCCAAGTAGCTTAAGGTGACCAGATTTTAACATTGGTAAAGTGGGACACCATTGACAAGAGGCGGGGTGCTGGGGGGGCGGGGCCTGACAACAATGCAAACTTGAATAAACAGTTCTTGATCATCAGTTCTCAACAATTATTTGTTATTATTAAAGTTTAACATTATAAAATTAACAAAAATAATATAAAACTCATATCCTGGTGAAATAGCCACATGGCAGCCAAAAACCATATATTCCCTTCCTGTTCTACTGCATTCCCTAGCTTGTCATGCATTCTTTCCAAAAATCAGGACTTTTTAAAAATGCTGTGGGAAGCAGGACAAATTGTTAAAAATTGGGACTGTCCTGCCAAAAGCAGGCCATCTGGTCACCTTAAAGCAGCTGGGACTACAGACACCCATCACAAAGGCTGGCTATTTTTTGTTGCAGTTGTCATTGTTGTTTAGGTGGCCCAGGCCCAGTTCGAACCCACCACCCTCAGTGTATGTGACCAGCGCTGTAACCACTCTGCTAGGGAGGCTGAGCCAAGTTTTCTATTTTTAGTGGAGACAGAGTTCACTCTTGCTCAGGCTGGTCTCAAACTCTTGAGCTCAAGGGATGCTCCTGCGTCAGCCTCCCAGGGTGCTAAGATTACAGGCATGAGCCACTGCACCTGGCTCATATTTAGTATTTTTAAACATACAGTTGGACAACATCACTGCAGAAAAACTCTATGAGACAGCACTTTTACAGAGTATCCACTCCCATCTCTTAAATAATGACCTCTATCTGAACTTTCCTCCTTATTTTTTTCATTTTTAATTGTAATATAATTCATATTCCAAAAGATGCATCATTTAAAAGTATACAATTTAGTGGTAGTACATTCATTCACATCATCCTATCTAATTCCAGGACATTTTCATCACCCCCTCTAAAAACACTCTGTACTTGTTCCTGTTGACAGTCATTCCCATTCTTCCCCCTTCACATTGGTGCCCAGCAACCACTGGCCTACTTTTTATCTCTCAGAATTTGCCTATTCTGGACATTGCATGTAAATGGAAACAGACAATATGTGGGCATTAGTGTTAGGCTCCTCTCACTTAGGATAACGTTTTCAAGGTTTATTCACGTTGCAGAGTGTATAAATATTTTATTCCTTTTATGACTGAATTATATTCTACTATATGGATATATCATATTTGGGTTATCCATTCATCAGTTGGTTGATATTTGGGTTGTTTCCACTTCCTCATTATTATGGAAAATGTTGGTGGGAACATGGTCTACAAGTTTTGTATGAGCATGTTTTCAAACTCTTGGGTATATACCTAAGGATGGAATTGTTGAGTTACACAGTAATTCTATGTTTAACTTTTTGAGAAATTGTCAAACATTTTTCTATGGTGGCTACACCATT